ATCAGCTCCGTATCTCTTTACCTTGCCCACCCCGAAAAAAAGCCACATTGATAATGTGGTATAATTGTTTTGCACAGTATATATATATATATATATAAAAAGACCTCAACAAAATAAAAACCCAGAAACTATAATACAGTGAGGTAAAGGAAATGCAAAAATAAACCAAAACCAAATAATAATAATAATAATAAATCCACCCACAATATATATCTTCAGGAAATGCCACAACAGTGATTTAAGGGAGGGGAGGAGGGGCAAAAAAAACCCACGTGTTTTCCGTTTTCTTTTTGAAGGAATCCAACAGCAGACATGGCTATCCTTAAATTTGCGTCGTGTTTCGCCTACGCGTCTCCCGCAGCCACAAAATCCACAGGGAAGTAAGAGGGGGGGGGAGAAACGGTCTCGTCCAACAGTTTATTTAAGGAGAAAAAAAAAGGGGGGGGGGAGAGAAGGAATTCATCTCATTCCCCTCTCCTTCGGCCGCGTTCACACTTCCATCAGCTCCAGGTCTGCGTCCTCGAAGCCGTAGAAGGATTCGGTCTCGCTCTCCCCCTCGAAGAGCTGGTGGAGGATCTCGGGGTTAGCGGATTCCTCCGAGGGGTTCCCCCCCTCGTCGTTGTTCAGGTCGCCCTCCTCGTCCTGCAGTTCGTTGTGGAGCTTCAGCTGCTCCTCCAGCGAAGCGATCAGCTCCTCCTGCATGTCGGCGTTGCGGCCGGGCGTGTTGGCCGTGCCGTCCGGGCCGGGCAGGACGCTGGCCACTAGGAACGACTGCTGCACCAGTTCAGGGCAGTCGCTGATGACCTCCAGGGCTTCGGCCAGCCAACACAGGACGAGCTGCAGGAGGATGTCCGAGTCGCAGGGGGAGTCCGCCATGTCCTTGGCCTGCTCTTTCCACTTTTTGTGCACAAAGTTTTTCACCGTTCTTTTGATGCAAACGTCCAAAGGTTGGATTTTGGAGCTGCAGCCGGACGGCACCACCGCGGGCAAAGTGCTGGACGAGCTCAGCATGGAGAGGACCTTTTCGGAAAGGTGCGTCCGATGGCAGTCCAGGACCAGCATGCTTTTGCCGTTTTGGTGCTCGATGTGTTTCTGCCAGACTTTGGACGACCAGACGTCCATGATCTCGTCGTCGCTGTGGCCGTTCTCCTTCGCCTCCAGCAGGATCGTCTCCGGCACGTTGGCGGGCTGCTCCAGGCGGCCTCGGTAGAAGACCACGGTGGGCAGGACGCTCCCGTCGGCCAAGATGGCCAGGACCACGTCGCACCAGGGCTCCCCGGTGCCCACCGTCTGCAAGGCGTTCTCCTTCCGGTCGTCGCTGCAGAGGACCTCAGCGTCCAGGAAGAGGGAGATCTCGTCGATGGCCGCGATCATGGAGAGGGGCAGGTCCTGGGTGTGGATCTGGCCCTGCACAAACTCAATAAAACAACTGGAGCTCTCCGCCACGTCCTTGGGGAGCGGGTGAGACACCGCCCGGCGGCTATGCGTGCTGAGGTGATGCCGCAGCATGAAGCGGACGGCCCACTCGTAGGAGATCTTGAAGCCCCCCTCCAGAGACCGGCCAATCTTGGTGGCCTTCTGGAAGAGGGTCTCCTCGTTGACCGGCAGCTGCTGCTCGCGCTGCGTGAGGACCCACTCGGCCAGCTTCTCCTCCGCTTCCAAGCTCAGGTACTTGGCCTCCGACAGAGAAGCCACGTTCTCCTCCTGGAAGGCCTGGAAGCGCCTCAGCCAGCGACGGATCCGCCGGGGCGGGTTCTTAAAGTGTTCCGCCGCCTGCTCGGTGTTGCAGCACAAGGCAAAGAGAACGACCCGGAGCTTCTTCACGGAGAGCTGCTCCTTCCTGCCGACGGGCTCAGGAGCCTCCTTGGGCGAAGGTTCGTCTTCGCGGCTGTCGACGTTCGAGGCGGTGGAACCCTCGTTCTCCTGGGCCGCGGCAGGAGAGCAGCTGGCCTCGGGCGTCGGCTCGGGGACCACCGGCGGCGCTTCCGGGACTCTCTCCTCTCCCTCCTCCTCGGGCAGAAGAGGAGGCGGCGGCGTGTTCACAGTGGCGGCTTTGCTGGGCGAGGCGGTGGAGACCGAGGGTTTCGTGCCTCCTTCAAACGGCTGGGCAGGCCTGGAGGGGAGAGAGGGAGAAGGTGAGGCCTCGCCCAGGGGGAGGAGAGGACAAAATCTACCCCAACAGAAAAGGCATGATGGTTTACCTTATATGGGAGCCCCAAGCCGGACCTGTGGGAAGCAGAAAGGAGGGGTTCATTTTACGGCAAGAATCGCCCTCATAAACAAGCGGGGGGCGGGAGGCAGCAAAAGTCCGTCCCCCCCAAAAAACAATCTTTAGGGCTGAGCCAAAGTTCTTTGCTCCAGCCCAACTGCCCTCTCTTCGGTTGGATAAGCTGGACAACAGGGTGTCAAATGGGGGGGGGGGACGCTGAGCCTCATTATGGGTAGTCCTCAACTTATGTCCGAACATTTGTGCTAATTGATACAATCGTTAAGTGAGTTGTGCCCAATTTTACCATCTTTTTTTGGCCTCGGTTCTTAAGCGAATCACACGGCCAATGAAGCGAATTTGGTTTTCCAGTTGATTCTGCTGCCTGTTGTTTTTCCAGCCCCGTTGCAACTTTGAACGGTCGTAAGTTAAGGACTGCCTGTTCTCATCGGGCTCCCTCTTCTCCCCTCCCCACTTTCTACTGGCTGAAGCAAGGAAAGCCCCCCGCCCCCCGGCCCCCCCCCCGGAGTAGGAGAAAGAGGATCGGGCCCTTTCTTACCTCGCAGAATGACGTTGCTGAATTCGTGCGAC